GTCTGTGAAAAATATGGATCAGTAAAATTAAGACTTGGTAGAGGGCGCTTTTTTCTGGTTATTTGGGTTCATAACTCGAGAATCACGAATGTTAAAAATACCTTTATTGATAAGCTATACGATCGTTCTCTCTCTCTTCTGACTATAAAATGCTTGAAAGGCTATTTTAAATGGCTAGTAAAACATCAGTGACTCTTGAAGTAACTTTGTGTGTACAAACAAGTGACAAAAAATAAAAATGCTCTACATAATTGCATCCAGAGTGATAAACATGCTAACCTGACTGAATCGGGAAAGTTTAGTCCAACTTGATCAGGATTGAAGATAACAATGAGACTAATCAAAGCTTCAACTACTTCATCCTTTCTCCATCTATCTGGTAATGCTTCAATAGCAAGTAAAGTTGCATCATGTAATAGTCGATTCCAAAGGAAAAAATCACGTCTTCCAAATCTTGATCTATATTCTGGGAGCTGGGAGTAAAACACATGCACGAATAATTAGTATTAACAATAGAAATAATGTCAATATGAATCGTAAATCAAAAATAATAATACTCACTATCCATTCATCAGTCGATTGGTTGTATTTAAAAACGGCATTCATAGAGAAGACATCATAAAATGAGCTGGACATGAGCACAATTTTATCGTTATCACACAGTTTCTTTAAACTTCTGAGCTTCTTGCAAATGGAAACAAATTTCGCAGGTGAAGGGTTGGATCTGAATTTAATTGCGAAACCAGGCAATTCAATTGGTTCATCATCTCGAAAAGCATGTATGATTTCTTTTAAAAAAGGTTCAAATTGATCCAGAGGCGTCCGTGCCGCGAAACAATCTTTAACCAGACTAAAAGACGAATAATCAACAGATAATATTTTCTTGGCTACTTTTGGATTCCAAGCTTCTGGTTTATGGTTGTCTGTATTCAATGTTATTGTCAACTTGTATCCAAGTCTGGCGAGTAGTAAAGTGTTTGCTCTCAGCTTAACGTAATCATTGTAGGTGAAGTGTTGGTTGGGTTGTAAAGCTTGATAACCATCATAATATTGGTAATATAATGTCTCTGAGTTTTGACAATCATCAAGGTCCGAGGTTGAAAGACTTAGATTGTTGTTCGAGATGATTTTGAACACGAGTTGATCAAGATCATCAGAGTAAATACTATCTGATGCCATGTCGTATGTGTTGATGAAGTCCAGTTCTAATCGTTTTGATTGAAACCGATGACCATTTTGAAACTGAAACCGATGACAATTCAAATTTACAGTATTTGATGAATCAGTGGATTGATCACAGTCAGAGTTGTCATTGACTTTGTTTTTATCCTGATCCGAGTACAAGCAAGTTTTGAGTGTTTCTTCACTTGGAGACATATTTGTAAGAGCTTTTTATTTATACTTGACACTTTTGATTGAGATGAATTGTGTTTGTAAATCTTTGGCCACCATTGATGGTCTTTTAAATGACTGATAGTAATTCAAGAATTCCTGCAAATCCATTGTGAAACAATTTGAATAAAAACAATCAAACCCAAATATGATAACTTCACAAAAACTAGAGATTCATTTTTATTACAAGGTGAAACCAACTATCACTGTTACAATTTTTTGCAAGACAATTTGTAATCCATTCAACAATGATAAACACTGTAGTATGTGCGCACCTATGTTGCGATAAGATTTTAATAATCTTTTCTGCACATTTTAATCAATCAAAAGAGTTTCTTCTAACAACATCAACGATTCAGGATGTGTTTGATAATTTACCAGAGGTTTCATTTTATTGGGCGTTTTTCCATTTGTGGTAATAACTCACGACCTGTTTATGCTACAGATAACAAATGCAAATGTTACAGATTTGAACCGGAAAATTTTGGGTTGAAGCATAATTTGGAAACTCAAGAAATGGTTCTTGAATACTCAAAGTCTCATGGTTCAAATCTAAGATCGGTAGCATAAACCATAGTCTGATGGACGATCTCATTACTAACTCGAAGTTGTTGCTTATGTCACTAACAAAAAACCCCCAACCATTATAAAAAAATAAAACAACGTCAATATTTTGAGATGAAATGTAATGATAGTAAAAACTTGCAGCTTAATCCATTATACACTTGTATGCACTTTAAGAGTCTACTTGTTAATTATATTCATGATCAAGTTTTGTAGAGATCTGTGATAATCTGTCTGGCATAAATTGATTAATTCACATAAAATTTCACCCAATTCCCGGAATTTATCAACAGCCACCATTAACCTGTAAAGATTGTCTGAAGCATCAGAAGGTGATTCGCAAACTGACTCCAAATAGCGCTTAAGCAAGTGAATGTAAACATATTGTTCATGTCTGTAAAAGCAAAATATTGATATAATGATATAATGATATAATTAAAGCATTATGCAGGTCATAATTACCTAACTGAATCTGCAAATGTGATTCCAACTTGATCAGGATTGAAAATAATAATCAAACTAAGTATCGATTCAATTATTGCATCTTTTTTCCATCGATCTGGAAAGGATTCAATAATGGAAACAGACTTGTCATGTAACGAACGATTCCAAATGAATAAATCACGCCTTCCAAATCTTGATCCATTATCTAGGTTCTTCAAAAAAAACACAAGTGTGATATTAGTAATGTTTCCATTCGTTTGAAAACAATTCTCGTCAAATCGAAGTTGCAAATGAAATAAATAATACTCACTATCCAATCATCAGTTGATTGGTTGTAATTAAAAAGAATTGTCAGGGAAGTGAACTGATAAAATGTGCTGGACATGAGAATAATTTTATCGCTATTACGAAGTTTTCGCAAACTTCTGAGCTTCATACAAATGGAGATAAATCTTGCTGGTGACGGACCCGACCGATTAATTGAAAAATCAGGCAAGTTGTTTGGTTCATAGTCTTGAAAAGCATTTACCACTTCTGCTAAAAGTAAAGTTTCTAATTGGTCCAAAGATGCTTGTGCAGGGTAACAATCCTTTACTAAGCTCAAAGGCGAATAATCAACAGATAATATTTTCTTGGCTACTTTTGGGTTCCATGTTTCTGGTTTATCGTTGTCAGTATTCAATGTTATTGTCAACTTATATCCAAGTCTGGCGAGTAGAAAAGTGTTTGCTCTCAGTTTAACGTAGTCGTTGTAGGTGAAGTGTTGGTTCGTCGGTAAAGCTTGATAATCATCATAATATTGGTAATATAATGTTTCTAAGTCTTCATTGTCATCAATATCCAAGACTGCAAGGCTTAGATTGTTTTGATTGACGATATTTAGCAAGATTTTATCAATAGCATCAGAGAAAATGCGATCTGATATCGCGTCGTACGAGTTGATGTAGTCAAGTTCTGATCCAAATCGACGGCAGGTTTTAAGATACAATCTATCAATATTCAAATTCAAAGTATTGAATGAATTGGTGGATTGATCACAGGCATTGTTATCATTAACAGTGTTTTCATGTTGGTCCGAGTTTAAGCAAGTTTTGATTGTATCTTCACTTGGGGACAATACTTGCAAAAGCATTTTATTAATGCTTGACACTTTTGACTGCGAAAACGAAATCATCGAATTGTTGTCTTGTAAATCTTTGGCTAACATTGGTGGACTCAGATGTGGTTCACAGACACTCAAAAATTCACTTAAATCCATTGTAAAATTATTTTGAAAAACAGAATAACATCAATAAAGTTGCATTCTGATTAAAATGTAAAACCAACAAACACTGTTCCAATTATCAATGATAAACACGACAGATTAATCACATTGTAGCATGTGCACAATTATTTTTTGATAAGATTTCAATTATCAATTCTGTACACTTTTTACATCGAGTCAAGAGTTGTTCCCATCAACACGAGAGGGTCTAAAAACGTTTGATCAAATATTTCAGCAATCCACTGCCTGAAACTCAATTTGTTTTTAAATGATACCAGGTGTGTCAAAAGTCAGTGGCAAACGGTTTTTTAAATTATTAATTATCTTCGGCTTAAATTTGATACCATATTTAAAGTGCACACCCTCACTGGCATAACGACTTTACGAAACTTGTTAATCGTTGTAATTATAAATCAAAAATACCTGGACTTTCTCATCATAATTTTATGACTAAAATGAATGCAATTGATCAAAGCACCATTTCGTTGCGAGTTATCAAATTGAGATATTTTGTTGTTGAACATCTCTATTCATGCTTTATAAATAGATGAAATTAACGCATCAGAAAAAGTTCAGTAAAAACAAAAAAGTCTACAACACCGGGGGTTCCCAAGTGGTCTCCCTCCCAAGTACTAACCCGGCCCGAAACTGCTTAACTTCGGAGATCGGACGGGATCCGGTGTTTTCAGTCTGGTGTGGTCGTAGACGATCAACAAGTGCTTAAAGTAATATAAAAATATAAAAATTCACTTTTTTCTCTTTTCAACATGGATCCAAGTTACCTACAAATGCTCATCAAGTCAATGGATACAAGATTATTCGAAGTGATTAAAGCGGATGGGTCACAGATCGATTATTAATTGTTTTTAATTGCTGTCCTCATAATTTTTGCCATGCGCAAAACTGATTTTCTCAAATTTTCTTTATTTTTTCCCGAATTTTTTTTAAGTTAAAATACGTAATTTTGCATCAACTTTCAATTGATACTGACTATAAAACCATCAGTCATTTGACAGAAAAATTATTCACAAAAATTACTGTCCTCAAACTTTATTGCCAGCAGTGTATAAAAAATCACTTTTTTCTATTTTTTCGAGCAATAAATTCTGAAATTTACTGTGACTAGTGTTTGGTGCATTGCACTTGCATTCAAAGCTGAAGCATTCGATATGATTGAATTGATGTAAACATTTAATGAACTAGTCGAGCATTTTTCGAGATACGCCCATTATGATCATTTCATGCAAATTTCAAGTCTATTGAACTGTAGCTTAAGAGTTCCAAGAAATAGTTTCATTATTGACTTTGAAACCTAGTATGGCAGTTAATACAGGGTGACAATTCATAACCGAGAGACTTTTTTTCAAGATAACGGCCGAACGGTACATGCAGTGGCCCTCATATTTTTTTCTGGGCATTAGGGCCTCAAAGGTAAATGTTTGGGCTCGTGGCATAGGTTCAGATGGTGATAGTTATCGACAATAATAGACTTGATACTTTACAAGATGACTGGTTCC